TTAACTCTAGAGGCCTAAAATAAACCTTTTTCTTTTTTTTTTTTAAAGTGGAGTATTCCTTAAATTATACTTTTTAAAAACCCTTATGAGTTCCTTTTCTGTTGAACAGAAGGAAAGATATTTTGAGTTATGCTTGTTGCTGGCACAGTTTTTGCTAGAAGGAATACAGCTGCAACCAGAAGTTAACAAGAATTATTTATATTATTTTTTTTAAATACCAAATAATTGTATTTTTTTTAACGTCCACCCCTAACCCTAAACCCAACCATCTCACTAGTGTTAAACAGTAATTATACAGAGTATTATTCATATTATTGATTAAATCACTCATTAAATTTTGCAGTTTTTCATTAACACCTACCCCAACTCTAAACAGTAATGTAAAAAAGGAATTATTGTTGTACAGTTACACAGAAAATTATGTTATATTGATTTATCCGCAGCTGTATATCATCTAGACTTCACCTTGGCAACTTCTGTAGTTAGGAAAAAACTTCTATGGAGGTCAATGGGTGCCAGCAAGCGGCATTTTTCAAAATATACTCTTTTGTATATAACAGTACAAAGAAACAGTAATAGGTTTTGAACAAGTGAGTGTTAAGTAAATAATGACAGAATACTAATTTTTGGGTGAACTACCTCTTTTTTAGTTGTTAAACGAAATGCTAACAAATTTAGGACAAGTTAACTGTTACCGATGCCAATTAAAAGGGGAGGTTAACTATTCAAGAACTTTTGTGGGACAAAATGACTGTAGAGACACTCCTTTTTCTTAAACTGATTAAAGTGTTGAGACTTACAGTATAAAGTAGAATTGGAAATGGAGGTTTTTACTTGTTTATTAGCCTAAATGTGATGCTAAAGTTCTTAAATTTGTATTGAAATCAAATTAATTAGACATTAATCAAATTTTTATTAATCTCCTTATAAAGACCTGTTGAAACATGAAAAATGGAGCAGAAGCTCTGCAAAGGCGATGCTAGCAAAGTAACAAGCTACTTGTTGAAGCTAAATTTTGCTCTTTAAACGTCCACTAAAACCATACTGTATGAACTGTTGAATTCAGTTCTAAATGAGAATTACTCATAACTTAGTAAATGCATGAAAGGCAATCACAGTAACTTAATTTAAGCTTCAACAAATCAACAGTAAGAAATCCAGCATGTTTAGGTGCTTGGCAAATAGCATTAGCGACAGCTAATATAGCAAAAGCTAATGTTTTGGACTCTCTCCAGAGGCCTCTGACAGTGTGTGCATGTATTTATGTGTGATTGAACCCCATGGTCATCCTCTCATCCTATTATCCTTCGCTCCGTTCCCTTTTCCTCCACTTTCTGTCTGTTTATTCTGTCATCATGTCTGTCGTTAGTGTTATGGTCTCGGGTGAGTAGTGTTTGGGTTACGCCAGGCTCCACAAGCATCTGATGAGACCGTCCCAATGACACTGTACGTTTCCACCGCGCTCTGTCTTCCACCGCTGTCAGCCAACTCATTGAAATTGATCTTCTGAAGCGTTTTGCGATGAATGTGTGAGTGTGAGGAGAAAATGAGAACAGCTGAATGGGGATTTTTTGCATTTGTTGTGTGTGTGTGTGCGATGAATGAAGACTGGAAAATATTGGTAAGCTGTGCTAAATGTGCTTGATGGCTTCTTCCTTAAAATCTTTTATCAAATTGAATTAGCGCTCATCTCTTCCTAGTTTCATTGACCTCTTAGATGACCTTTCCGTGACCATAAAGTGACCCTTTTATATTGGTGAACTGGTCAAAGCCCATAATGCATCATTGATGCTTGGAAGAGATGCTGTCTTTCTTTCTTGCAATCTGTCTTTCTTTCTTGCGCCTGAAAGGGGAAGGAGTCTGCGAGGGCTGAAGAAACCAAGAATGACTTCTGAACACTCACACACACACTCACAGAAATGCATCAAATCACATGTACCTGAATGATTTAACTCCCTATATCTACTGTAGCCAAAGTCAAAATGCAGAGAGTTGCAACAAAGTATGGTAATGTAGTTATACACCTTGAGCTGTGTGTTTGCGATGAATAGTATTATTTAATACTATAGTATATTATTACTATAGTATAGAACAGGAGTCTATTATTTAATAATATTAATATATAACATTTTAAAAATTATTTTTTAATATTATTACTTTTATTGTTTCAATTATGCTTGTTTTTCTAAAAAAAAAGGAATTAAATATTATATTTCAAAATATCTTTTGCATTTAATGTTATTATTATTGTTAGTATTAATGTTTATACACATTATTAATAGGGCAGCCTGTAAGAAATATTAATTTATTATTTCTTAATATTAAGATGTACTATTTAGGATTTATTTATTTATTTATTTATTTATTTATTTACTTATGTCATATGTTAATAATTTATTCTTATAAATATAAACATCAACTTTTTATTATCTTTGTGGAAATGTTATGTTTATGTTAGTAGTAGTAGTAGTAATAATAAAAGTAGTAGTAGTAGTGATATTGCTGAACAATGGTAAACAAAAAAAAAGTCTGAATAATAGTTTATAATAATTAATAATAATATTTTATAAATAGAAATGTTTTGAGTCCCTTAAATATTGTTTTTAATATCTTAAAAACTAATGATTTAGCTTACATGTGGTGACATTTATTAGATTGACCATGAAGATGTTAACTTTGAGCACTTAAAACAGTAGACTTAATGTAAATTCATTCAAGACGATCTAATTTAATAATAATTTGCATATGAAATGAGCTTAGGTTCCCATATGGGGGGTGTCTTTTATACCAGAACTGTGATGTAACAAAAATACAGCACAAGAAGAGTAAGTGCTGCTGGCTCAGACCATTAATACAGCTTTAGCCGCACGTGATTGAACTGCACTAGTTACAGTCATTTGCCAGTGTCTGGGTGGACTTGTTCCTCTGAGGGTGGTGGGGGTGCGAGTGGACCGCTCTCGGGGAGAAGTAAGACATGAGACCAGCTCTTATATCCTGTCCCACTGCAGGAGAATGGACTAAACGCTTTGACTGGGTGACAAATGGGCCACCGGTGCCTACTAATTGCCCCTTCTATTTGCAGTTCATTCTTATCAATTTGCATTCCTAACCTCAAGCAGGCTAATCGGCCATGGGTTTCCCTCACGTCTGTCTATTTTTACCCCAGAGCGCTAGGTAGTATGGGAGCGCTAATGCCGGAGGGAGGAGTTGAACTAACGTGGCTGAGCATGCACTAACAGACTTCAGTCATTCTCAGTTAGCACATGTTAGCCTGTGCGTTCTGAACTGTTGCTCGCATTAACCCCTGCCAAAGCAAAAACCGCCTGCCAGACTGTGAATGTGAATGCTGTGTGCTTTGCATCCCTAACTCCTCTCTTCCCTCCATGTCTGTTCAGCTCTCTTATTCTTTTTTTCTCCTCCACCACATCCTTTCCCGCTTATTGCTATGTCATTTCATTCCGCTAGCCCACAGGTAAGGTGCATATGATACTTTAAAAATGCCTTTTGGTTTTGTTTTCACATTTTATAGCCACCATTTTAACCATTTCCAACTAACCTCACACTCATAAAAAACGGAACTTGTTAACTTGACCCAACTGGGAATGGGGTAAAGCTGTTATTGCTTTAAAGGAATATTGTGGGTTCAACAAAAACAAAATGAGAATAGGGCTTTTCACTGTCAACATTTACATTCACAGCGAATTGGATAAAAGTTTTGCTAGCTAATCCAAAATTGCCCAAATAATTTGCAAAAATACATTGTTTTGAGGGAATGCAAATGTTTTGAGAACAGACATCATGTCTTGGGAATATTGTGAGTAAACACTGAGTTTCCAGGGAATTCTAATTTTTACCCAGTGGAATAAATTTCTGCGGGAATGTAAATAATTCCTTCGGCAAATGCAAAAGTTTCAATAGGTAGAAAACAAAGGAATACAAAACTCTGGAATTCAAAAGTATGCACTGAAAACAAGTTTTGCGCAGTTTTGCAAGCAAATGTAATGTTTCTTGACACAAGTTTGTTAAATGATGCAGAGTTTCTCCAAGAATTTAGTTCAATTAGTAAGCAAACAGAGTTTGTAAGGTAGCAAGCTTTCTAAGGGATTGAAAAAAGCTTATGCAAATTTTGGGGGGAAAGTAAATGTTATGCCAGTAAACGCAAAATGTCTCGAAGGAGCGAAAACATTTTGCCTAGTAATTTTTCCCCATCATTATGTCTAGTGAAGGGGTACCCAAATTTGGTCTTAAAGGGCCGGTGTCCTGCTGACTTTAGCTCCAATATACCTCAGCACACCTGCATGGATATTTCTAGAAAGCGTTGTAAGAACTTGATTAGCTAGCCCAGGTGTGTCTGATTGGGGTTGGAACTAAACGTTGCCGGACATCGGCCCTCCAGAACCAAATTTGGGCACCCCTGGTCTAGTCCCTTTATTCAGAATTAAAAACGTGACATAATAACCAAAAGAATTACTTAACATTATCCTTGTTTTTTTTTATAAACAATAGTAAACATAGTTACTTGTTTAGCCATACATTTTTGTGGTGAAAGACACTATGCTTGTCAAGTGAGCTTTAATTGGTAATGAACCCAGAATATTCCTTCAAGCACACTCTCGAAAGACTGATTGGATTCGTAACATACAACTTAAGTGCTTTTTAAACGCACACTCCTACAGGGATGATAAACAATCCTTGTTTTTTATGGTGAGAAAAGTCACGAGGTCATGCTTAGCGCACATGTCTGTTGAAATGTTGACGTCAAGACTACTTATTCACGTGACCTTGCATTGTACTGGGACAGATCCACTATTCGAGCCCCCATGTAGTGTATCCTGTGCTACACCCTGCTGGGCCTCGCAGTCTCCCCTGCTGTCTTGACCCCCATCCACTCACCCAAACAAACCACCCCCACCCCTCCTATCCACTCTCTCTCCTTTGCGCCAGCCTGTATCTCCATGACCTTGCGTTATTAAATTGCACTTATCAATCATTCTTGCCAGGGATGCCATCGCCTACCACATTAAAGAAGTCAGAGAAGTCTGGTTTCAGCAGCCCTGTGCCTTCGCAGACCGCTTCCCCCCGAACGGCATTCACACACCATCATCGACCTGTCATTACAGGACCCAGAGGTGAGGTCCCAACACCCCACCCTCCTCAAACTGCACCCCTCTTCTTCCCCAAAAAATCCCAGCCAGCAGGGCTCCTGCTGTTGTTCAGATCCCTGTTCCTTAAACCCTACAGTGGTCCCTTGTTAGATCAGACCAGAGGAACTTGGGCAAGTTTGATCCTGGAGAGGCACAGTCCTGCAGAGTTACACTTCAACACACCTGAACAAGCTAATTAAGGCCTAGGTGTTTCTAGAAAGTGTACAGTTTTCCAAGGGTTGTATCAAAAGTCTGCAGGACTTTGGTTCTAAAGGACCAAAATTGCCAATTCCAGATTTCAATGAACTCTTCCTATCAGGGTGTTCACACTGAGAGAGATTTGCTGTGTCAAAATATTAGGAAGTAATTCAGTTTTCAATGAAGGTTTGAGATCGAACCAATAGGAGCAGAGATCATCTTCATGCAAATAAGCAGCAACAATGGGACGTTTTCAAGGAATTTATGAGCCTTAAATGTTTACACTGAGAAAGAATACAGATGCTATTTTGGTTTTCAATTCATGTTGCAACAAGTCAGAAACAAGACTTAAATATGGAGTGAGTTTTTTATTTTATTTTGTCTAAATCCACTGTCTGAAGGAGTGTTGACTGATTCTGATTTGTTGAATGAATCATATTTGTTTTAGGGAAAGTTTGTGATGCAACCAATTTGAGCACAATTTAACTTTATGTAGCTAAGCAGCATCATGACTTGAATACAGAGTGAGAGGAACTTATGAGTCTAAATTGACTGTCTGAAGGGGTTGTTCACACTTTGATTTGATTGATTTGTAGTGTCGGTGTATTCAGACATCATTTTTGTATTGAAAGAATGTGTGATCAGTTTGAGAAAAGTTTATAAGCAGCAATGCAACTTAAAAATAGAATAAAAAATAGTTTCATTCACTTTCAGTTCAGATTTGGGGTTGCAATTTAGTTCTCAGAATAGTTAACTTAAAAATAAATTGGCAACAAGATTAACCCCAAATCCCTTTTTAAGGAACTTAACAATCAACACAAGAGCACAGATGTGCATAATGTTGTTTAGTTTGTCAGTGTGAACTGGACTTGAGTCAAATAAAAGTGAGGGACACTTGTTGACAAATACATTAAGGACGTAAGTGCGGTCACTTTACGAGTTCAGCCCTTGGTGTGTATCGGCTGCTTGATTTACATGCGTTTAATGTAAACACTTAACCGGATCTCTGAGTGTGACTTACACATGGCTTGGTTTTCCCTGTCAAGAAGGCTTTATCAGAGAGTCACCTGGATCAGGTTATCACTAGCGTATTGTCACTGGCTGTGAATGCTTTTGTCATAGATAAGGAGAGTTTTTAATCAAACCCAAACACTTGAGCAGTCCCATACGTCGTCTTCGCTAGGTTGTGAGTTACAGTGAGGGAAATAAACTGAATTTACGGCCTGTTGGCCGCTTCCATCGCATATTCAAAGCACCTTTTGATGACCTCTTTGCAAAAATGAGGGTTTATATGTTTATAAATGCGCTTTACTGAAGACAGAACTGGGCAGAAGAGCCAGGATGAGTTACTTTAAATATGTTGTAGTAGAAACCACAGCTTAATTTGCCAGGCTATTAGTATTAAATCACGCTTGGAAGTGGTATCGCTGTCATGTGAATATTTTATGCCCACGTGTACAAAATGGATCGCGCTTTAATATGCATACAGTAAGCGCCAAGGCTTGACGCCCCCTTCAAGAGTACTTTCTAAAAGCTAAATCCATGAATGTTTGATTGATTTAGAAGTCTTTCGAGATGTTAGTCAAAACCGCGGTCAGGCGGGGCGACCGGAAAACTTCTTTTCTGAAACCGTTTAAGAATATTTAAAACCGCCTAAATCTGTCCTCCCTTTCAATTGAGCGTGCGACTTCGTAACACTTGCTTTTTTCCTCCTCTTCAGTGTTATTCTGGGTAAAGAAGAGACCTGTTGCCTATTGCATAAAAAAAAACCTTTTATTATCACCTTGGTTATTATATTGATAATCCACCGTTCAATGAAAGTTGACAGCAATGGGCCGGCAGGGAAAAAGGAAAGGCTAAAAAAAAAAGATCAGTGAACCAACACGATTTGCAAAGTGGAACTAATCCCAAGCCTTTTCTATTACACGCGGGTGGCGGCACAATGGCAACAGAGGAGCCGCGCTCAACCAGCTGCTGGAGACTGCCTCCTTTTCAGCGCATCATTATCATTTCCATATTTGCTTTGGGAGGTATGTTTCTGCCGGACCCCCCTCAGACTAACTTTTAAGGGCCACCCAGTTCCTTCGTGGCTGGCCTGTGAAATTATGAAGGGCAAACAGGCTCTTTTTATCAGTGGTCTTTTTGGAGTTGTTGTCCAAATTTCAGCTTAAAGGTCGTGCCAATTATTTTCAGTAATTTTCATTTGTAGGGACTACTAGCTCTAAACTGTTAAAAGATTCTTGCTGCATTACGTTTTTAAGTTGAATAAAATTAACTTTTTAGTCATCTTAACTTACATGAATAAAACTGATTCAAACTATTAAACTTTAAAAAATTAGTTGAAACCTGATTGACATATAAAAATAAGTCAATATTTGTTGTCGACTTTTTGTCAAAATATTTTACAGTGTATTTACATAACTTTATTTGTTAGATCGTAACAGAGAAAATGTACAATGGGATAATATCAAGTTTAGCTTTCTGGATCCAATTTTAGACTTTGACTAGTTATGGAATTTCCGCACTTTAGTTTTGTCTTGTTTGTAAAATGTTACCTATATTACTGTCAGTGTGTATTTTAATAATGATGACTGAATAGAATTTAAAAATATAAAATCTTCATAATAAATATCAAATATAAATAATTTTTTTCTTCTTGCTAGTGATAAAACTGATTCCCAAAATCCCCTCTAAAAAAGAAAAGCTTGACTTTAACATGTCAAAAAGTAAATCAATTTATATAATACATAACACTAATGTAAAACAAATAATATTAATTAAACACAATTTGAATAAATAAAATTGGCCAAATAATGCTTTAATGAATAATAATAAAAGTAATGATAATAGTAATATTAATAAATAAATAAATACATAAATAAATAAATAAAATGATATTATATAAAAAGAATATAATTAATTCAACACAATATGAATAAATAAATATAGCTAAGGAATGCATTAATGAATAATAATAATAATAATAATAATAATAATAAATAATTAATGAATAAATAAAATAATATTACATAAGGAATATTATTAATTTAACACAATATGAATTAATAAAAATGGCTAAAGAATACATTAATGAACAATAAATAAATAAAATGATATTACTAAAAAGAATATTATTAATTTAACACAATATGAATTAATAAAAATGGCTAAAGAATACATTAATGAACAATAAATAAATAAAATGGTATTACATAAAAAGAATATTATTAATTTAACATAATATTAATAAATAAAACTGGCTAAAGAATGCATTAATGAATAATAATAATAATAATGATGATAATAATAATAATAATAATAATAGTAATAACAATATATAAAACAAATAAGAAGTAAAATGTGTAAAAAATAAATAAATAAATAAATATAATAAGACTAATAATTAACATTTATATATGTGTATTTGTTTCGAAACTATAAAAGTGTTTGCATTATAGGTAAAACCTATAAAACCAAATCAGTCTGAAGTTTTTCAACAGCTGTTACTCATGGCTGGATCTTGTGCAAATATTTACTTTATACACAGGGTATCATTTCAACTAGGTTTAATGATGCAAGGATGCAATCAAACATTTAGCCACAAATAAGCATAATCTGTAATTTAACTCACACCACAGGTTCTTTTTAACCATTTACGCCGCACTTTCTCCACCACACTCAGCTCTTTGTGCTAATAAAGCACAACAAGGACTTGTTTCTAAGAATCAGACTCTTCTCCCAAGGCGCCCATGATCCTCTGTTCTCTCTCTCATGTTTAGGTTCTGGTATTTGTCTTGTCAGCGGCCCTTTTCAACTCATAAAGCCTCTTTTTAGCACATTAGTGACTTTTGAAACGTGCAGGCTGCAGGTGAAAAGGGTAAAAAAAATGTAAAAATAGTTTTTTTTAAATACTTTCTCTAGTTAATTGATTGCATTAATTGGTAACATTGGAAACATTATTGGAAGCACATTTTCTAAAATTTCACATTTAGATATGCCAATTGAATTATTTTAACTCTTATTTTCTTATTTCTGGCACAAAATCTGAATGTTGGATGAAAAATATGTATTTATTTATTTATTTTTGTTATATTAAAGTCAAAGGATTTTTCAGAGGGGACTTATGGGAATCATTTTATCACTAGCCCGAAAATAGTATCAGTTTTTAATACAGATTTAACATAATCAGGCATATTATATCTCAAAACATCCTTGTAAAAACCTTCAGAATGAATAAAATGATGAAATTTGGTATATGTAAAGCTGCAGAAGTCAACATTTAAGGTTCAGTACAGAAGAAATACCTCTAAAAATAAGTATTGTTATTAAAATCCATAGACAAACTGATAGTGGGGCAAATAAAATCCATTTGGAAAGTTTGCTTTACACTGAAATGAACTCTTCCTGAAAATCCCCAAAAAACATGCAGCATTGACAGGTATGTGAAAAAGCCTGCTTTGTCTTGCCTTCAAAGCAATGAGGAAAGAAGAGTTGACGGCCTTGAAAGTGAATTATGTCGTCCAGCGGCTTTGACAACTCGAGACACGGTCAAACTTTGTTTACTTGCAATTTTCCGTCCAAATAACCACCATTAAATGAATAGGAACATGACATGGGAGCAGGCCATTTAAGTAATTGGCTATCGTTTCACAACACTTAGATTCTGTCAGCGAGCGAAGGGGGAAAAAAGTGTTGTGTTTTTTTTTTTTTTTTTTTACACTGCGCTAATTAACTAAGGCAATTTGCATAATTGAGATGGTAGGTTTCGCTATAGCTGACGTAAGCTG